CGGTGTAAGGCGGTGCAGTGCGGTGCTTGGCAGTACAGGGTGGTGCGGGGCGGTGCAGTGCGGGGCAGTACGGTGCAGGGCAGTGCAGGGCGGGGGGGGGGGGGGAGAACCGTACCAGTGAGGAGGACCGGGGCCGGGGCAGGGACAAGCGCAGGGGCCGGGCGGGTGCGACGGGGCCGAGCGGGCGCGACGGGGCCGGGCTGGTGCGACGGGGCCGGGCGGGTGCGACAAGGCCGGGCGGGTGCGACGAGGCCGGGCGGGCGCGACGGGGCCGGGCTGGTGCGACGGGGCCGGGCGGGTGCGTCGGGGCCGGGCTGGTGCGACGGGGCCGGGGGTTCGACGGGGCCGGGCCGGTGCGACGGGGCCGGGCGAGCAGGACGGTGGCCCAGGAGGGGCGCACCGGGGCTGGGCGGGCGCGACAGGGCCGGACGGGTGCGACGGGGCCGGGCGGCTGCGACGGGGCCGGGCAGGGGGCGACGGGGCCGGGCGGGTGCGACGGGGCCTGAAGGCGTGACGGGGCCCAGGAGGGGGCTCGACGCGGCCCAGGAGGGGCGCTACGGTGCCCAGGAGGGGCACGACGCGGCCCAGGAGGGGCGCTACGGGGCCTAGGAGGGGCGCGACGGGGCCCAGGAGGGGCGCTACGGAGCCCAGGAGGGGCGCGACGGGGCCTGGGAGGGGCGCGACGGGGCCCAGGAGGGGCGCTACAGGGCCCAGGAGGGGCGCGACGTGGCCCAGGAGGGGCACTACGGAGCCCAGGAGGGGCGCGACGGGGCCCACGAGGGGCGCTACGGAGCCCAAGAGGGGCGCGACGGGGCCTGGGAGGGGCGCGACGGGGCCCAAGAGGGGCGCTACAGGGTCCAGGAAGGGCGCGACAGGGCCCAGGAGGGGCGCTACGGGGCCCAGGAGGGGCGCGACGGGGCCCAGGAGGGGCGCTACGGGGCCTGGGAGGGGCGCGACGGGGCCCAGGAAGGGCGCGACGGGGCCCAGGAGGGGCGCTACGGGGCCCAGGAAGGGGCGCGACGGGGCTAGGGGGGTCGCGACGGGGCTAGGGGCACGACGGGGCTAGGGGGGGGGCGAGCGGAAGCGGTAGGTGGGGGGGGGGATCCTACCTACGCGTGATACCATATCAAGTTAGAGAAGTGAATAATTGTTAGAGTGAGATTACACACAGATATAACTAAGTGTTGTACCCTCTAAAAGGCGACCCTATACAGTCTATACAAACATGACAAATACACATGTTTGACATATGATACTTCTGAGGCTGTATCTCTGAATTCGACATGGGTAACGCCCTTCGTCCTCTTCGCGACTACCTTGTCAAGTAGGGTGTTACTTCTACCACCCAGCTTTGAGGGGGGGAAGTGTGAGAGTACGACACCGTTACACCTATTTCCCATTTCCATATTTTCCTATCCATTTCATTCTTCTTTCACTCCTGATTCATTTGGTCTTTATCTCATCTCATTTGGTTTCATATTCCTCCTTTTCCATTATCCTTTGATTTATCATGTTATTATAATTATATCACCGACCATACTCGGGATGTACGGGCGCGCTATATCTAGCGTAATCCTGCCGTAATCCCTTAAAGCCAATAGCATCGCTTGGCTATACACATGGTGATTCTATTTCTAGAAGGGTCTATTTCTTTTGGATATGATAAACCTGGTTACCTGATGTACTATGGAAGTATAAAAGCACCTTGTACTTATGGATAGTAAAACATTGAGCAAACCTCATTCGATCCTGTGACACTTGGTAGCCGAGAGCACACCACACACGTGACACTAAGCTACACACCCCCCCTAAATCTAGCACCCCCATACTCAGTAGCAGCGACGACTACACCAGCCCGGTCAACCCCTCGGCGTGTGAGGCGGTGACGTCGACAGCAAGGGCTGTGGTGGCGACGGCGGCAGCGGCAGCAGCGTCGTCATCGGTGGCGGCGGCGTCGTGCGGCGACGTGGCCCCAACGCAAGCGGCGGCGGCGGCGGCGGGGCTCGCAGCACTCGGCGGAGTGGCCGGGCTCCGCGACGGTGGGACGGCTAGCGGGAGTCAGCCATCGGCTGCGGCAAGGAAGAGGGGACGTCGGGAAGGGGGGCGGGGCTTCTGGAACATGCCTGTGGCTGGCGTGCGGCCGTCAGGACCGGCGGCACCTAAGACGTCACGCGGCCCGTTGCCGCCCGTCGACGCCGCCACTGCAGCATAACGCCGCCTCCACAGTGCATCGTCGATGTCGCGGCGCTACGTCGACGCTGCGACGGCAGCATGACGCCGTCGCTGCGGTGTGGCGTCGACTCCACGCGTCGGGGCTGCGACGGCAGCACCACGACGCCGTCACTGCAGCGCAGCATGGCCGCGACGGCGGCATGAAAGTAGCGGAAATGACGACTGAAGTAAGAGTACGCAGCGGAAGCGTGGGGAGCAGGCCCGGGAAGGGCAACCTGCTCTGATACCATATCAGAAGACTAGGATGCTAGGAACGGTAGTCGGCCATGGAATGGCGTGAGGGTTTAGCTAGGAGAGGAAGTTGACGAGAGAAAAAAAAGGTTGAGAATGTCAAACATGTGTAGTTATCATGTTTGTATAGACTGTATAGGGTCACCTTCTAGAGAGTACAACATTTAGGTATATGTTTGTGTACTCTCTCTCTCTCATTATTCAATTCTAGGTTTGATATGGTATCACGAGTAGGTTTCGACCCCCCCCCCCCCCCCCCCCCCCCCCCACCTACCGCTTCCGCTCCTCCCGTCGCGTCTCCTAGCCTCGCCTCGCCCCTCCTGAGCCCAGTCGCGACCCCTCCCCCTAGCCCCGTCGCGCCCCTTCCAGGGCCTCGTAACGCCCCTCCAGGCCCCGTCGCGCCCCCCTTCCAGGGCTTCGTAACGCCCCTCCAGGGCCCCGTCGCGCCCAGCGAAGCACACTAGAGTCATCGGCATACATCACATGCAAGGCTGCTACAATGGCATCCATGTCCAAGTCAAAAATCCGAATGCTACGCCTAAGCAAGCTGTGCCAGTCCGGGAGGTCGGGCGCCGGGCCAAAGCGCTGGCGGAACAGGTCGTCCAGACGACGAAAACAGCGAGGAGTGGAATGACCGATCTTACCGCAAACGAAGCCGCGGCGAGGACCGGTCTGGATCTGGTACTGACAGGGCCCGCCTCCAGAACCACCACCCGGTGCACCACCACGCGCACGACCACCACCAGCTCCAGGCCACCCAGGCGGGAGAGCACTCGCCGGCCTCGTCTGCGGCGGCTGCTGCGGCTGCTGCGGAGGCTGCTGCTGCTGCGGCTGCTGCAACGGTGGAGGCAGCGGGGCAGCTGGACCGGGCAGGGTCCCCACGTCCGCACCGGCACCGGACGACCCGCCTCCACCACTACCCCCACCCGCACCCCCGCCACCTCCGCCGCTCCCAACCTTGGGGCGGCGGCCCTTCCCCGAGCGGGACTGCACTGCAGCAGCAGTCTCAGCCACAGCGACAGAGCCGTCGGAGAAGGTACACTGAGCGGGGGCACAACCCTGAAAGATAGGGACCGGTACTGTACCGCTCGCCTGGGCTATGGAGCGGTGACGAGTCTCTATGGCAGTCAGGGTGTCAACAAAGTCGGTGAGGGTGAGAGCAGCAGGGTGGATGCTAAGGAACTGGTCGCGGGCGGCGGCAAGGCGGTCAGGGAGGCGGGTGGCAAGGAGGTAGAGGGTAGAGGTCATGGGAGGCCCAGTGGTCCTTACGCTGAGCTAGTGGGTTGCCTCATGTACCTGATGACTTGCACTCGCCCAGATCTCGCATACCCTCTCAGCATCCTGGCTCGTTTTGTGGCCACAGGCAGACACCGACCTCAGCACTGGTCTGCCGCTAAGAGGGTTTTGCGTTATCTTGCAAGTACATCGGGCATGGGGTTAGTGCTAGGCGGACGCAGGCCAGTGGTCCTTACTGGACACACAGACGCTTCTTGGGCAGACGACGCCGAGACGCTCAGGTCTTCCCAGGGCTACTGCTTTAGCCTTGGCTCAGGTGCTGTCTCGTGGAGAGCTACCCGCTCCTCGTCGGTTGCCCAGTCCAGCTGTGAGGCTGAGATCTACGCCGGTGCCATGGCGGCACAGGAGCTCCGCTGGCTGACCTTCTTGCTCACTGACTTAGGTGAGCGGCCTAGCTCTGCCCCGGTCCTGTACGCTGACAATAGGGCCATGATTCTCCTGTGTCAGGAGCCTCGACTCGAGGGCAGAGCGAAGCACATCCAGCTGCGGTACTTCCTCCTGCGCGAGCTACAGCAGCGGCGCCAGGCTCGCGTAGTACACTTGGCCTCCGGTGCCAACACAGCTGATATCTTTACGAAGGCGCTTGCGCCTAAAGATCATCAGCGGCACTGTTTACAGCTTGGTCTGGTTCCTGTAGTCTCTCACTTACTCGGGCCTTGACTTTGTACTGTCGTATATATATATATGTATACACTCAGACTGGACTTGTGTCCTCTCACAGTGGTTGGACTAGTAGTGCCGCCCTGTACTCGTTCTTGCCTTGTCTGTACTCCTTCTGACTGGTCTTTTAGACCCTTGTCTCAGAGGCTGGACTAGTAGTGCCACCCTGAGCTACTTGTCTAGAACATTCCCCTATGCAGTCCAGGGGGTGTGTCAAACATGTGTAGTTATCATGTTTGTATAGACTGTATAGGGTCACCTTCTAGAGAGTACAACATTTAGGTATATGTTTGTGTACTCTCTCTCTCTCATTATTCAATTCTAGGTTTGATAGAGAATAGAAGAGAGGGATACAAGGAGGGGGGTTGTACCCTCTACAGTAGGTGTCAGTAACACCTACCAAGCCTACCAATTATATATCAAAGATATAATTTAACAAGTAGTCACTTTTCTCTCACCAGTTTGACACAGGTTCCTAACTTGAAATGCGCGATACCGGTAGCATGCATTTGGTGTTCAGTGTACTCGACCTCATTGCAGGCTATTCCTGAACTGGCATCAGAATCGAAATTGGAATCCAATTCATAAATTTCAAAACTGAACCACATTGGATTTCTCATTTCAACCTTCGACCACGCTGCACAATAGAAGTCTAAAATGGTTTGTGATTCTGATGCTCAGGAATACGTCCTAAGGGAACATGCAAGTATTGGTAACACTTGCGAAGGAGCTCACTACTAAAGAGCTCAGCAAATCTTCCCGAGGGGACAACAAAAGAAGAAAGTCAACAAAATAGACAATTTCCAGTCATATAATTGTCTCATGTTGTGGGAGCTGCGGTTTCTAGGGTTATCAAGGCCACTAGGTGAAGATGCTGGATCTTCAAGGATCGGCTGGCTTGCCAGCCATGTCCAAGATGGCATCAGCTGGGATCTGCAGTAAGGAGGGGTTGCATTGCAGTGCCACCGGAAGGGGAATCAATAACATTCACTGAATACCAGGGGGGGGGAGGACAGCATGCGAGGTTATCGCGGGTCGACTGGATGGGCAGCCATGTCCAAGACAGCATCAGCTGAGACCTGCAACAAGGAGGGATTGCATTGCAGTGCCAGCGGAGGGAGAATCAATAACATTCGTTGATAACAGAGGGGGGGGGGGGGGGGGAGGGGGGAGGACAGCATGCGAGGTTATCGCGGGGCGACTGAATTGGCAGCCATGTCCGGGATAGCATCAGCTGGGGACTGAAGCTCGGGACTGAAGTAGCAATCAACAGCTGGGGACTGAAGCAGTCAGAACTGGACACCGAAGCATGGGACTGAGACATTGAGTTGAGATGAAACACTCACTCACCCATACCAGCACCAGACAGGCTCACATACAAGAAGAGGGATGGAAAGTGGCATCCAACTGCACATGTTGCACATACCACTAGCTTAGGGTTTAAAAATCGCCTTAGACAACAAACATACACCGCCACCCAAGGCGCACTGACCAGCAGGCGGATGGCGGGCAGCAGCAGCACGGTGGAGACGTAGGTGACGCCCATGAAGATGGTTCACGCGTGTGCAGTGGCGATCTTACAACACATCCTGAGCACCCCAGCCCAGACACACAACAGAGACAAGGCTGGCTGACTGACCAGCAGGCGGATGGCGAGCAGCAGCAGCACGGCGGAGATGTAGGTGACGCCCATGAAGATGGTGCCGGCCACTGTGTTGGCGCCCAGCTTTGTGTTGTCCTTGTGCGGCACAAACGAGTTCTTGAGCGTGTTGGTCAGCTCAAACAGGCGCATCGACACCTGGTGTGCGTGTGTGTGTGTGAGGGGGATTGGGGGTTGAAGATGGGAGCAGGGAGAGGGAGGAAGACAGGAAGATTGGTGTTGTCCTTGTGCGCACGGACGACTTCTTGAGCGTGTTGGTCAGATCCAACAGGCGCATCGACACCTGGGGATGGGGGGATAGGAGGCGCAGGGTGGAAATTGGAAGTGGGGAGTGTCCGAGGAAGACAGGGAGATGGTGCTGTCCTTGTGCGGCACAAACTAGTTCTAGGGAGTGGGAGGGGGGGTTGAAGGAGGAAAGGGTAGGGTTGGGGTCCAGGGTTGTGGAGGGGTCACAGGAGGCATGAGAGGTTGAGTGGAGGGGTACGACAGTGCAGGAGGCATGATGGGAGGGGCGTGGTGCAGAGTGCAGAGTGAGTGACAGAGTGAGGAGATGAGTGGTGGGAGGGAGAGAGGAGCTGGGATGCGAGAGCGGTGCCAATTAGGCAGATGCGGCATGGAGCAAGAGGAGAAAGAGGAGCGGGAAGAGCAAGAGGAGAAGGAGGCGCAAGTGGAGCACGTGGAGCGTGGTACATGGCTGACATGGGCTGTGATGTGGTAGGGAGGGAGCATGCCATGTAGCACAATGGGAGCACACAGAGGGGGCAGCGGGGAGGGGCAGGGGGGAGGAGGGTGCAGGGGGAAGGGTACAGGTGCGTACGAGGATGTAGACAGCTGTTGAGAGCATGAAGTTGACGAGAGGGTAGTCGCGCACAAAGCTCAGCAGCATGGCTGGCTGGCCGTTGGGCATGCCCGTCCTGGGAGGGGGAGGGGGGGACACGTCACACGAGAGGTGGGGCGGAAGAGGGAGTAGGAGAGGGAAGGGGAGAGAGGGAGGGCGAGAGGGAGCCGGGGATGGAGAGGGAGATGATGAGATGAGAGGGAAGGGAGGAGGCAGATGTGGTACCTCACCTCACAGTACAGCATGGGTATGGAATGGAAAACGGTACCCGAGCCAAATGTGATACCACACAGTACAGCATGGGTATGGCATGGCATGGCACAAAGTACCTGAGCCATATGTGGAACTGGCCAATGTAGGTCTCGAGGGTGATCTTGCCCAGCCAGCCAAAGAGCGCCAGCGACCAATTGCGCAGGGGCTGGGTCAGATTGCGCAGGGCAATGTAGATGCTGCAGGAGGAGGAGTGGGGAGAGGGGAGAGGGGAGAGGGAAGAGGAATAGAAGCTTAAGGGCAGGGAAGACAGGAGGAATCTGGTGCATTGGACGTGTGTGGGAGTATCAGGGTGGGTAGCAGATGTATGGTTTAGAGGGGGAGACTGGATTGTGACAAGAGGGAGACAGGGAGAGGAAGGAAGAACAAAACGAGGAGGAGGAGGGGGGCTTGGTAGATTTGGTTGGAGAGGAAAAGGAAGGAAAGAGAAGGAGAGTGAATTTCAGTTTGTATGGATTTTATTGAGATAATTTGACAAACTGAGGGTTTGTCGTGCAAATAAGAAAAACCTGGTGAAGGGATGGTGATGGGGGTGTGTGAGGGGTGTGTGTGATGGTGGTGTGATGAGATGGGGGGGTGGGTGTGAGACTCACGTGATGGGGATCCAAGATGTGTATGGATGCAAGTTGTTGTAGGCAAACTTGTCCAGGCAGTAGACGTTGACGTACCACACATAGCCCACCTGCTCATGTTCCACCAAGCATCGCCATTATGGAAGCAAGCACCACCACGCGCATACACCCATGCACATACACCCATGCGCATACACCCATGCGCATACACGCATGCGGAAGACATGGGCATGAGCAGCAGCACTTCTGTGAGCGCTTCCTCCCTCCCTCTCCACCACTCCATACGAGCCTAGTTTTGAGATAGACACGTCTCAACGTCTTGCCACAGCCAACCAACGGCTTCCCAGGTGACTGCCGAGTCGACTCAATAGTCACTGCCTACATCCCAGCAGCCCTGCTTGCGGGTCCGCTAAAAGGAAAGAAGACGAAGAAGGAAAACCTCTCCTACCCTCTAGAAAACTGTTGTGCTAAACATGTATCCCTCTAATAACCGCTCCTGGCCTTGCTGGTCAGCACTTCACTCACTTCGAACTCCCACCCTCCAACTTTACCCCGAGCGACACCCATGTCTTCCCTGTGCCCATTTCTTGGTGCAGCCGCAGTTTGATGCGTGCGTGATTCCATGCATCATGCTTCAGTCCCTCTCACGGGTTCGATATTTGCCTCAGAGCACAAGTCTGTGACGTTCAGTCACCAGCCCAGAGCGGCACATGTGTTCTAGTCGCTTGGATCGTTCATGGCATGGCGCACAGCATGGCGTATGCACAGCATGGTGTGCACGCTACATTCTATTCTGAACAGTGCACGGTGCACGATACCCCCACCCACAATACATACCGAGAGGCAGACAGCCACGATGGCAGCGCGGATGGCGTTTCTCGTCATGTGGTGCATCTCCTCGAGCTTCTCGAGCCAGCGCTCAACGAGGGGGTGGAAGTAGGCGTAGATCATGCCCACGATCCAGATATACCGGTCCAGCCCCGACCGGAAGTGCCACTCGTGCAGCAGCGGCAAGTCCGGCTTGCGCGGGTCAATGTACCCTGGTGGGGAAAGGGGGAGGAAGAGGGAGGGAGGGAGGAAGCGAGGGGGGCGCAAGGGGGAGAGAGAGGGGGAGGAGGGTGGGAGGAGGGATGCGAATAGTGGTTCAGACAGGAACGCGGCAGGGGGTTGGGGGCAAGGGAGGGAAGTTGGGGGAGGTGGAGAGGGGGGGGGGGGGGGGGGGGGGGGGAGGTGGAGCGGAATAGGGAAACGGTAAGGAGTGTGAGTGGATGATGAGGTGTGCCTGGATAAATGATAGTCGCACATCATGTGCCTTGGGAAGAACCACCCAGATCCTCCTAGCAGGTTTAGTTACTAGGTGCGCCAGAGGCACAACACCACCTAAGCTGATTCAGTGAACGATAATCTAGAATGGTAATAAGAAGCCTTGTGGGGCAGTCGCCCAGTTGGTTCGTTTCATTCGCGGCCCATCCACCTCTCATTGTATGCTCCTGAAAAAATCGTGCTTTACTTCTCTATGGCTCCCTTCCCTACTTTGTCAGGACCCCCACATCCAGGACGCAGCCAAACCACCCTGCAGCCCCGCCCACCCAGCATCACCCCATCCCTCTCTCTTATTCCCTCGCCCACTTCCCCTGTTTCAACTTCAACCCCGTCCCCCAAGTCAAAACTCTCCCCCCACCCCCCGTCCCCCAAGTCCCGGCTCGCCCCCATTTCCAATTCCCCCCTTCCCCCCCACCACCCCCCAAAATCTCGGCTCCAAACCCATCCCCAAAGCTCCGCATACCCATGAGGAAGGTGAAGGGGCCCCAGACGAGCTCGAAGACGCCCTGGACCTCCCAGAGCAGGAACACGACAACGAAGCAGATGGCCATCTTGATGCCGATGACGGCGGGCAGCTCGTTGTACTTGCTGTAGATGCCGAGCGCGGCGTACACCATGATGGTGAAGAGCGTGTGCATGGGGCAGATGTAGTACAGCATGTAGTCGTTGGTGAGCGCCAGGCAGCAGAAGAACACCAGGAAGTTAAGCCGCCACATCATCTGCAGGGGGGTGGGTATGGGGATGGGGATGGGAGGACGAGAGGGAGGAGGGGTTGGGTGAGGGGGTGGGGAAGGGGAAGCGGAAGGGGAAGCGGAAGGGGAAGGTGGATGCAAGGGCTAGCAGAAGAACACCAGGAAGTTGAGTGATAGGGATACCACGGCTTCTATGGACGCAGGGAGAGAGATAGGGATGGGTTGAGGGGTTTGGTGCAGGGCTTATGTGAGGGCCTTGGCTTATGGAAGTTTACAAGGACATGGGGAAAGAAAACCAGTTGAGGCCAGGGAGGGGAGGAATCGAGTGGAGAGAGGGAGGAAGGGGAGGGGGAAAGGGAACGGGGGGACAGGGAAGCAAAAGGGGAAAAGGAAAGGGGAAGGGAAAGGGGAAACTGAGAGGGAAAGAGGATGGGATGGGCAAGGGGAAACGCGTGCTTGTGAGGCAAAGTACAGGGATCGGATCAGGATACCCCAGCAGTCCCGAAAGCTCACTCCCTCCCACCCTCCCGTCCCCATCCTTGTCCTCTCCCCCCACGCCCCCCCACGCAGATAATACCGTCTTGGTGATGCCAGGAAGAGCCGAGAGGGTGTCCTCACCTGGCAGAAGCGGCCGAGGCCAAAGTCCTTGCGGACGTAGTAGTAGGAGAAGTTGCCAAAGCCCGTCATCCACACGTAGGCCGCGATGAAGAGGCGGATGGAGTTGTAGATCTCGCGCGCCTCCCAGTAGTGGTACATCAGGAAGATGATCTGCCGGGGGGGAGGATGCGGGGGGAGGTTGCGGGGGGGAGGACAGGACAGGCAGCGGAGTGGGGGAGGGTGGGGGGAAGGGGGAAGGGGAGGTGAGAGGGGTGGGTGGGTGGGTGGGAGGGGAGGGGAGGAGGATGGACTACGAAATGAAGAGGCGGATGGAATTGTAGATCTCGAGCATTATTCCCACAAGTGGTACATCAGGAAGATGATTAGCCAGGCATGTGGTGGGAAGGGAAGTGCAAGAACAGGGGAAGCGGAGTAAGGGGGGGAAGGGCGTTAGATAACGAAATGAAGGGAAACAAGGTGAGGAAGGGAGAGGGAGGCGGGGGGAGAGCGGGTAAGTGGCATGGCAAGCAGCAACGGTGGCAGACCAGAAAGGTCCAACGGTGTGGATTGGCACAGTAAGGTATGGCGTGGTATGTATTGGTGGGCAAGGTATGATGAATCGCACCTGCATCCATCCCTTCCACTCCTCCGTTTGGTGGCGGTTCAGGTACTGAATGGACTTGCCCGTCGCCAGGGACGCGCCCGTGTGCTTCGTCAGCGACGTGAAGAAGCACGTCAGCACCAATAGCGCGTACAGAAAGATGAACAGGTCGCGGCTGTAGTGCTGCAGTGTTGGGGGAAGGGGCGCCGCGAGCAGCCGGGCAAGGAGGTAGGGGGTAGGAGGTAGGGGTACCAAGGGGCAGGCCGGTATGGAAAGAGACAAAATGGGAAGGATAGGCAGTTAGTATGGCCGACGAGTGGGGACAACTGTTATAGAGTACTCGTTTCATGGAGTGAGGGAGCTTCAATCAAGAGGATACGTGGGAGGGGGTGGACTGGGGGGAGGGGAAAGAGGGAGGGGGTATGGGTAAGCGTAAGAGCAGCGACCAGCAAGGGGACAACATGCTGGAAAAGGAAGGGGACGAGGTTTGTACCTTGCTGGATTCGCCGAAGATGTCTGTGCGATCGCAGACGTAATAATAGAGGATCAGGCCCCCAAACTCGGCACTGCCGGGCGCGCAGGGCAAGAAAAGGGGGAGCAATTTGAGCCATTCATGAGCTTCAGAGAGTCTTAAGTACACACCGACTTGCTCTTAAAAAGGGGAGTCACGCAGCAATGTCCCAGCGACAGCAATTAAAACCACTAGCCAGTCTCTCTACTGCAGATCTTGGTATAAGGCGCCAAGTATTCCGACCATCGGTTTCAGAAACGTTCTTCGGACTCGATAGCGCGGAAAATCTGGGAGTGAGTGTGAAACTAGAGCCGTTCACTCGCGGCAAGAGACTCACATGGCGCGAAGCGTGAGGCGGTTATCGAGAAGAAACGACTCGTTCATGGTGAGAAACCTGCGGAGGGGACAACGGACACGGAACCCGCAGCACAAGCGACATAAGCACGAGGGCCATAAGAACCAGCGATGTAAGCACCCGCGCCAGCACGAGCAGAAGGCAAATCCGCATTCGCGGGCAGCGACGAGCATCCGAACAACGACGCGAAGAGACGTATGGCATAGAGAGGGAGGGAGGGAAGAAAGGAGAGGGAGGGACGGAGGAAATAAAGACATGACACTTCTTCTCCACTGTATTTCCCGCTTCGCAACAACCACCCCCACATACTGCGATATCCAAGCACCAGTTTTGTGTCAAGACAGACATTCCCTCTGTGTCCAGAACCCCAGCCGAACCCGACATCCGAACGATCACGTGTCGGCTGTAAAACCAAACCCGCAAGCTTCAACAAACTCTCACCAATCCAACTCCGAAACGGTAATTAATCACAAAACTATTCAATCGGCGACAATTTCATCCCCGCTCACCGGACTATGTACTGTCGCACGATGCCGCCGATCGTGGTGGGTGTGCTGTTAGCGAGCGCTCTGCTGCTGGGGGTTCCCGGCGACGCATCGACGAGCGGCGCTGACTCCTCGTCCGTCGGCTTCTTCTCGTCGTCCGCATGGCTGATACGACGGGAGGTGTCACGAAGCGAAGGGAAGAAGGAACGACGGAAGAAAGGGAAAAAAAAGGTGTGTTTGGGACAAAGAGGGATGGGAGGGAAGATCGGGGGAATGGATTCGACTGAAGCCGTTACGGATGACTCGGGCTTCAGCGCTTGACGAGAGGTGCTTTAGTGCCAAGAGTTCCTGCGAACGGTGGAACAAGGATCGGAATCTTTTAGGAATTGCAGGGGAAAATAGACATTGACTTTCTTGATGTTGCATTTTTATTCCAGAAGGTACGTGACTGGGTACGATTATCAGTGGAATATAAAGAGGACCGTTGTTTTTTAGGCGACCAAGAAAGAAAGCGACATGCATTCGACGATTTCTCGAAAGAAAAGCCAGAAAGAAGGGAAGACAGGAAATCTTGAATAAAATCCCACCATTTCTTTCAGCCGTCGGCGATCACGCATTATAATCGGATGGCCGGGCAAGGGGCTCGTGAAAATATGCAAGCTGACATGAACGAAGGCTAGACGTGGAAGGGTCAGCTTTTAACTGATCGCCATTGCCGCCATGAACAAGACAAACAGCTCTTGGTAGTATAACACGCAACTCGCAGAGTGATCAAAACCTAAACGAAGTAAATGGGAAAAAGAAAGAGGAGTATGGCCCGCACGCAGCATCTTAAATGGACAAATTGGAGATAATTACGCTTTTGGACGACTGGACTTGTTGTATTCGAGATACTCGGCGTAGGCCCAGTAGGAGAGCAGTTGAATGTATCCAAGTAGACATGCCACCTGAATATAAGATACATTACAGCAGAAGCACAGCAGCAACAGCAGCAGCACACGGATCCGGGCAACTGAAGTTAAATTAGAAAGCGACAGCAGTAGGAATACATCAAAGCAACGACTGCAGGCGACGTGAATAACAGATTGTAGCAAATCGGGGGCCAGAAATGGAATGCGTGACTCCCGAAACAGATTGCTTCCGCTAATGCTTTGGTCTAGCAATTCAGATAGCGGTAGAATTCGCGATGTTTGGAGATTCCGAAAAAAAACTCGGGACGGAGAAATTGCTCCATTGAGCGCATTCGCCGGGACTAGGCGTGGACCGAGCTGACACGATGAATCTGGAAAGATATGATTGGGAAACGCAGAAAAAAAGCAAGTACGTACTTGGGCTGATGTGATTGGCGTTAACAACTTCATCTTGCCTTCCCGGTCAATGCGCCTTCGAGGGGAAAGCCAAGCGAGAGAGGTTCCGAATAGACGGGAAACTCGACGGCGTGTTAGCGCAGATTGATATGTGCACGAGCTTGACCTGGTCACCTAATCTCCACAAGCTCAACCTTGGCGGGCTGAGATGTGAGAGAGAAGCAGCAGTTGGGCGAAAGAGACGAGGAGGCAAATACAATTTGCCGTGGGCGAAGTCGTTGAGAGGCGAATGAGTGACTACGATGCGTTTCTGCGCTGTCTTCTCTCGGCTGCCTAAAAGCGGTTTTTTTCTCTCTAACCAAAATGACTTCTTTGATTGCTGTGCTTCACAAACCTCCTTTATTCTGCTTCGCACCTTATCGCACCTCTTTGCATCCCGTCACATCAGTTTCCTTACCTCTCCGCTGCGCTCTCGCCTACCTTCACTTCGCCACGGGTAACAAGGCAGAGTGCCTGATGGAGGACCACTTGGTTCGGGATGGACAGTGGAGGTCTCTCGCACACAAGTCAGGCCCGGGATGTGGTCTTGTGGCGAAGAATGATTACAGGAGCTGGAGGTAGGTGAGACGAACCAGTCTATTAGGCTCGAGAGGAAACTTACCTGGCGGACCAAGTTTGCTCTGGTTTTGAAGCTCGCAGCCTTGTTTGGGTGATTGGGTTCGGGGGCAAGTATGGTGGGGAGATTGGGGGGGATTGGTTGGTTGGGGCATGGGCGAAATCTTCGGGATTTGCTTATGGAAAGAGGTTTGGACAAGGCAGGGCGTTGTCCCCGAAGCTGGGCTGAGCACTGCGACTCCTTTGCCCACATGCTGAATCGCCACTGGCGACAGCTGGTGGTTGTGCATTGTGAGAGTCGTCCACTTTCGTCGCCTAACCATACTCCTTCCAGGCTTCCCAACATAAGTGGTGCTGGTAACCGTAGGGGGTGTTTGCCAAGCCGCCCAAGGATGCAGCTGCCTCTTGGTTCTCGAATCGCAGGGTGGAAATTTTGGGCTGAACCCGAGCATTCGTTACTGGGAGCATCAACGGCGAATTGACGATGCTGGGAGTTCGGAGTTACCAAGTTATTGCATGGTGTTTGTTAATAATGTCAAATAATGACTACTGCACAAACTTAGCCAAAGTAGGCTTCCCTATTTCGAACTTGACCAACACATGCTACATGCACGCTGATATTGAAAGGGAGGGTTCTTTCCAAGAATGAGCACTGTAGCTATAGGTTCCGATTATCGTGAACTCATACAATGTGAAATATAGGAAATATATTTGGAGGGCGAGCGTGATTGACGTATGAAATCTACATATCACAGTTGCTGTGAGATATAATCCTGTGCGATGTATTTCGGTTGGCCGCCTGTTTTCGCGGTAAAGAGTATCCTGGTGCAGTGCCCTTCACCATCCCACCTCACCACAGGAACCGACTCTCTCCATGTGCACAACAACCAGCCGCCATTTCCACATGACATTACTGTACTATGACAGGATGCTATCAGCCGAACACAAGGGGCCACCTGTTCGTGTGATGGGTAGGTGTGTGGTGATGTGATCGATGAGACATGCGATCCAGTCAGAAGGCATTGGCGACGTCCTAGCAAATTTGTAACAGGGGCTGAAAGTAGGGCTGGCCCTGACCGATAGCGACGGCGAGCTGTCAAACTGGCGACGACTTTCGCATGTCATTTCGTTAGGTTGAGGTGGCGTCGCACACGTCCACCAAACTGTGCGAAGCGAGGGTTAAGCGACCATTTGGACGGTTAAATCTCATCTTGCGGTCATAAGTGTGCGACGTTTGCCGACAAGAGTTCATCCACGCACAGAGTAGTTTTTCGATCGGCTAGCCGTCGAATGTCGTTAGTTACCTCTGACGCACTGGGGAAATGAAGAGCAGAGTTGACTCAGTCATGGAAGATAAGTGCAGTGCTGTGCGTTTCTCCTAGCCTAGGTCGACTTAGCGGCCTACATATTCCTCTCGTCCTTGCTTACTCATGTCTGGTCCGATCTGTCATCTGTAGCGGTCGTTGGTACTTACTCTAGCCGACCACCAGCTACCCCATTCTTAGTTGCCCGTTTTTCATCATAACGCACTATCGCCGATGGACTGACGTGTTTTATCCGCCTCTTCTCGTTTCACCAGCCCCGTCTGTCCCTCGCGTGCTAATTTTCTTCTTTTCCTAATTAAGAAAATGCGGCCAGCCATGCCGCCTCGACCTCCCCAGTTAACGAAGCTCCAGCAGCGGCAGAAGCGGCTGCTGAACATATTCACCGTCACCATTCTCGCCTTCCTCGCGTTCGTCGTCCTCTGCGTGTTCACGCCTCTCGGTGACGGCCTAACTTCGCAAGGCGCCTCCATGCTCAAAGCGGCAACGTCGGGAGTCCCGACGCTCGCGCCCATGCGACCATTCCCGCCGTGTCCCTCCAACTGGACCAACCACCTGCCGTGTTACGATCCCAAGATCGCCATCCTCTACTCTCGCGAAAACAACGAGTTTCGCGAGCGGCATTGCCCGCCGAAATCGGATCGGCGACGGTGCCTGGTGCCGCCTCCTCCCGGGTACCGCCGACCAATCCCATGGCCTGAAAGCCGCGACAGGGTGCGTTAATTCTAGACGGTGTTCTTAAAACGGGGGTGCTTTAGCACCACGAAATGTACCCAAATTTATTTGAAAGTGCGCTCTTCTGTGCGACGACCTAGAGTTTCCTCGTCATCAGCCGAGTCGATCCTAAGCCGCTTGCCGTCTATCTCCTCTACTGTTAGGCCGGCCGATTCTTCTCCGTTCTCTCCTTTTCCTTCCTTCGCCCGTCCGTCCTTTCTGGTTAGCGCCCGTGATCGCCGCGTCCAATCACCGCGTCCTCGTTCCGCTCCTCCATCTGACTCGCTTCTGAGTCGACTCAAAACGTAAGTGACTTTTGAGTCGACTCAAAAAGTAGGTGACTTTTGAGTCGACTCAAAAGTCACCTACCGATCACTGCGTCCTCGTTCCGCTCCTCCATCTGACTCGCTTCGGGGCTCGATCGACTCGCGTATCCTCCTTGCTCGAGCCGGCCGATTTTGGAGGCGTATAAAAAAACGCCTCAATTGCGTTTCCTCCCTGCGGAGTTCATCTGTCCTCCCAGCGTCGACTGATGCCCCTAAAGCCGCTTATGCCCATTGATGTCCATTCCTGCCTCTGCAGCTGTGCCGTTGGCACTGGTCGTCGCCTGTCGTCGCCTGTCGTCGCCTGTTTGACCGGCTACCGATCAAGCGAAGCAGCGAGTTGTGTGTCTCCCTTCCTTCCCTTCTTCTTTCTCGCGCGCCCCTCCCTTCCCCCTTCTCCCTCCTCTTCAGGTGCGGTTTCTCATGGTTCCGCACACAACGATCGTGGGCAACAAGCGCAACACAAATTCCCCTTCCCTGTCCTTTTTCCCCTTCCCCCCCTCTCCCGCCCAACTCTTCTGCCCACGCCAGGTGTGGTTCTTGAACGTGCCGCACACCACGATCGCGGGCAACAAGCGAAACACGAACCGGATGGCGCGTCAGGGGACCCACTGCCACCTACCACCCCCACCCCCCCCCCCCCCTTCCTCCCGCCCCTTCCCTGTCGCCTTTCCCCTCTCCTTCTCCCAACCCATCTCTCCCTTCCGTCCCTCCTCCTTTCCCGCGCCCCGTCTCTTCCCTCACCTCCGTTCCTCCGCCTCCCTTCCCCTCCTCCCCCACGCCAGGTGTGGTTCCTGAACGTGCCGCACACGACCATCGCGGACAACAAGCGCAACAAGAACTGGATGGCGCGGCAGGGCGACAAGTGGTTCTTCCCGGGCGGCGGCTCCATGTTCCCCGACGGCGCGGACGGGTACCTCTACCACCTGCGCCAGATCGTGGAGTTTGGGCCCGCCGTGCGCACGGCGCTGGATATCGGGTCAGGGGTGAGTGGGGGGGAGGGGGAGGGGGCGAAGGGAGTGTTGTTCTGGTATGACTTTTGAGTCGACTCAAAAGTCATCTTGTTCTGGTATGCTTGATTGTTCAGCTACCCTGTAAGTGCTGGAAGAAGGAAAACGGGGAAGGGGGGAGGGGGGAGGAGAATGGGGGAGAACGGGGAAGTAGGAGGGGGGAAGGAGGGCAGGGAGGGGGGCGGGGGGGTTCGGCGGCTCCATGTTCCCCGACGGCGCGGACGGCTACCTCTACCACCTGCGGCAGATCGTGGAGTTCGGGCCTGCTGTGCTGTGCGCACAGCGCTGGACATCAGGTCAGGGGTGAGTGAGGAATGATCAGGGAGGGGGTTGTGTTGGGTTGGGTTGGGTTGGGTTGTGTTGGGTTGAGTTGGATTGAGATCAACGGGTTGGTCGGCGCTGTGCTGCTTGACTAGTGCGTGCCGGCCATGTCGGTGGCACTCAAGGACTCGTACCGCGCGCAGATCCAGTTTGCGCCGGAGCGCCGGAATGGCTGGCTGGCTGGCTGGCTGGCTAGCTGTTGACGGTGTCCATCCATCCATACCACGTGCAACCCTCACCACTGCTCCGTGCCTTCTCTCCGCCTTCCCAATGTTTATCTCCCCGCTTTCCCTCTCCCCCCCTCCGTCTCACCACCATGTCATGTCACCTTCACCACCACCCCTGCTCTCTGTCCCAGGTTGCCAGCTTCGGCGCTGCGCTCTTGGACTATGGCGTGCTGACCATGTCCGTGGCGCCAAAGGACTCGTACCGCGCGCAGATCCAGTTCGCCCTGGAGCGCGGGCTGCCCGCCATGATCGGGCTGCTCGCCACGCAACGCCTGCCCTTCCCCGCGCGCTCCTTCGACCTCATCCACTGCTCGCGCTGCTCCGCTTCCTTTGGGGACGAGAGTGAGTGGTGGTGGAGGGGGGGGGGGGGGAGGGAGGAGGGAAGAGAGGAGGGGAGATAGAGAGGAAGGAACTGAGTTGGGCCAGGGGGAAGAACGAGGGAGAACGGAGGGATTGGGGGGCAGTGTGGGGGAAGGGGGAGTGGGGAACGTGAATGGGATGGTCTGGAGCGCGGGCTGCCCCCCCGCCATGGTCCGGCTGCTGGCCATGCACCGCCTGCCGTTCCCCGCCCACTCCTTCGACCTCATCCACTGCTGAGAGGGTCGACAGGAGTGTGTGGCGAGAGTGAGTGACGGGCGGGGGAGGAAGGGAAGGGGAAGTTGAAGGGGAAGTTGAAGGGGAAGTTGAAGGGGAAGGGGAAAAAGAGAATGGGAAGAGCGTGGGGAGGCAAGGGGAAAGGAGAAAAGAGGAGGGGATGGGGGGCAAGGGATGGGGCAGGGAGGCTGAGCAGGGCTGTGAATGAGAAAGGTACCCGGCCAGGCTGCTGGAGGTTTTGGGTCAGGGAGTGTGTGAAGCACCCTGGGGGGCGAATGCGCTTCTCCAGTCTGGTTTTCGCTGCTTTAAAGCACCCTCCTCCTCCATTCCCCGCCTCCCTTTCCCTCCCGCATTCCTTTCTCTCCCCCCTCCCCTCCCCCTCCCTGGACCGCGTCCCCCTCTCTCCCCCCTCAGACTCCACGCATGTGTACGAGGTGGACCGTCTGCTCCGCCCCAACGGGTACTTCATTCTGGCAGGGCAGCCGGTGGCGTGGCGCGGCAAGATCGCCGAGTGGAAGCGCCTGCGCCTGCTGGGGAAGGCGCTGTGCTGGGAGCTCGTGAAGAGCGTGGGGAATGTGGCTGTCTGGCGCAAGCTGGGGAGTGGCGCCTGCCGTGTGGGCGTGGAGGGGGACGGCAGGGATGTGCCGCTCTGCTCGCCTGCTCTTGATCCCGATGATGCCTGGTATGCCAGCCAGCTTTTGAGGCGACCAAGTTGTTCGGATGATGATGCTTGCCTGCTATGGGGGTGGGAGTGGGGGCTGTATGATGTATTTGCAGCAGCGGATGGTGGCAGCTTGATATTCTCTTGATGACGTCTGCCTGGTGTGGGGTTGCCTTTGAACTGTTGAATTCTCCCTGTGACAACCCACCCCCCTCCCCCCTCCTCCCCCCCTCTCTCCCCCCTTCAGATACATGAAGCTGCAGTCGTCTGCAGTGCCCTCCGCCCCCCACTCTCTTTCCCTTCCCTCTCCCACACCCGCTTCCCTTCCCACCCATCTCCCCCCCACCCCCCCACTCCACCCCCCGTTCCCCACTTCAGGTACGTGAAGCTCCAGCAGTGTGCAGTGCCCTCCGCGCCCCGCTCCTGGCCCACGCCCCCCTGGCCGCTGCGCCTGCACACGCCGTCCCCCCGCGTGCAGCTCGCCCTCCCTGCCTCCTCCAAAGCCTCCCTCTCTGACTGGCTCGCTGAGTCCTCTGAAAACGGCAAGACCTCCGCATCCTCCTCCTCCTCTTCCTCCTCCTCTGCTTCTGGTTCTGATTCTGCTGGTGGTGGTGGTGGTGCTGGTGCTGGTGGTGGTGGTGGGGAAGAGAGGGTGGGGTTGAACGGGGAGAGGAGAGGGGAGCGGGAGGGTGATGGAGTGGGGGGGGGGGAAGAGGGAGGGGAGGGGGATGACAGTGGGAACGTGGTGGGGCGAGTGGAGTTGGCAAGTGGGGGGGCAGTGAAAGTGGTGGTAGATGGGATACTGGCACAGGGAGGGAAGGATGAAGACGCTGAGGAGGACCGGGAAGGCGGGGCAGGAGGAAAAGGAGGAAGGGCAGGGGGAGAGAGGGAGGACGGGGAAGGCAGCGACAAGCCCCAGCGCCGACTGCTCTCAGCAGAGGAGGAAGAAGACGGAGCAGGAGGAGCAGGAGGGGGAGACACAGAGCAGTTCAAGCTGCTGTCACTGGAGCGTAAGCGCTGGCGCAGGCGCCTGCACCACTACCAGAAGCACTTCCTGGGGCCGTTGCTGGCCTCTGGGCGCGTGCGGAACGTGCTGGATATGAATGCAGGGATCGGAGGACTGGCTGCTGCTCTGGAGGATGAGCAGCGCAAGGCGGAGAGGGAGAGAGCCAGGGAGAGGGAGATGGGGCGGGAGAGGGGGCGGGAGCTGCAGCAGCAGGAGGGGCAGCAGCAGGGAGTGGGGGGGGTGTTGCCGGTATGGGTGATGAATGTGGTACCGAGTACAGGGCCCAACACTCTGCCGGCTATCTACGACCGTGGACTGCTAGGCACTGTGCACGACTGGTGAGTGAACAGGATATTTTCCCCCTTTTTCCAGGATTTTTTTTCGGGGGAGAGGGGGAGGGGGGGGGATTTGGGCGTCTCTTTGTACGGTTGGCGGATGGGATTTGAGGCCGAAGAAGGGATGCAGGGAAGCCTCTTGTAAGTCATAACAGTCAGGGGCAGGGGCAGTGGCAGGCATTGGGGGAGGGGGAGCATGGGTGGATTGGAAACTCAAGCGGAGATGCTTTGAAAAGCTGTGGGGTGAGCAGCATCGGGTGCGTGGGGATGAAGGAGTTGAGTACGTTCGTGTCGCATTGGAGATTGGAAGAAGCAGCAGTTCAAGGGGATAGAGAGAGGGTAGCAGTGACGCTTGGAAAGAGCAAGAGGAGTTAAATCGTTGGTTGGGCTGAGCAGTTGCGACTGTGAATTGAGTGATGGGTTGTTGGCCTTTAAACACTGCGGTTGTGCATCGGCCACGACTGGCTTTTCTTTCTGGGATCGCATACACGTCGGTCACTTCCCACTCACAGATGTTCCCTTACTTCCCCTACCTCTTCCCCTACTACTCCCCCCTCTTCCCCTCTCCCATCCCCCTTCTTCACCTGCTGCCTGCATCTGTCAGGTGTGAGGCGTTCTCGTCGTACCCCCGCACCTATGATCTCATTCACCTGCAGTCCACTGCTGCTCTCATGCCCTCCAGGTCAGTCACTCCTCACTCACACTCGCACTCACACTCACACTCTCACCCCTGCACTGCACTCACACATGCATATTGTGTGCAGCATTCGGCGAACCGCACGAACCCGCACGAACCGCTCGAACCCGCACGAACTGCTCGAACCCGCACGAACCCATACGTCCGCGGTTTGAGACAATGCAGACAATGTAGGCCTGGAAATGGTTGGTCGTGTCTGTGAGTCCTTCTGGAGACATCTCAGAATTGTCACCCATATGTCCCTCCCCTCACCCTTCCGTCGCTCTCTTTCCACCCTGCTGGGAATGCTGTGAGATTTGCTGACATCATAGCTGAGATGGACCGCCTACTCCGCCCTAGGTGCACTGCAGACTCTGTAGCTCTGGTAATGACTCGCCAATTTATAAGTCCTCTGAAGACAACTCAGAAACCTCACCCATATGTCCACCCCCCCAACCCCCACCCCCCCCCCCCCTTACTCCGCTCACCCCTGCAGAAAGCACTGCAAGATTGCTGACATTGTAGTGGAGATGGATCACCTGCTCGTCCCCGGTGGCACTGTGATAGTGCGTGACCAGCCCCTCTCCCTCCCCTCACACTCCCCTCAACCTCCTCTCACCCTCTCCTCACCCTCCCCTCACCCCCTCACCCTCCCCTCACCCTTCCCTCCGCTCACCGTGCAGGGAGCGCTGTGAGGTAGCCGACATCATTGTGGAGATGGACCGCCTGCTGCGCCCCGGGGGCACTGTCATAGTGCGTGACCAGCCCGGGCCGCTCGCAGTAGTGGCTCAGGCCGCCAGAGCCGCCCAGTGGTCTCTCGCCTTCTTCCCCCCCGAGACAAAGAAGGGCCCAGAGCGCATTCTCGTTGCCACCAAGCCCATGCCACCTGGGTTTGAGGATACAGATGATGGGGCGATGGTGGGGGAGAGCGATGGGCAAGGAGGGATGGATGGGGGTGAGAGGGTGGAAGGGGGAGGAGAGGGTGGTGATGTTGGTGATGGCGGGGAGGGTGGTGGGGGGAGGAGTGGGGCTGGCGAGGGGGGACCAGGTGGGGGGAGGCCATTTGAGGGGAGATCGGGTATGGCACATGCAGCAGCAGCTGCTGCAGCAGCAGCCATTGATGCCAAGGCTGGTAGGCCTGGTAATCGCTAGATTTAGGGCTCGCTGGAGAGTCATTGCCTTCAAAATGTAGTCTTCCTGGAAGTTATCGTAGGATTGGGTTGAGGGGTGTGCCTTCGGATGGTGCCTTACTCCATAGTGGAGGGTACAGGTCCACTGCCTTTCACAAAGCCGTGTACTTGCAGCACAAGCAATTGGTAATAACATATACTCTTGTAATTGTAATATTCACTTTTGGAGTGATGAGAAGGTCCACATTTCTTGGTAAGTATGATACGCTTCCATACTTCAGCCAGTCATTTATACTTTCATGCACAATGTACATATCCTTTCATGCCAAATATTCCTAAGAGTTAGTCGGAATGAGGTTGGGTAAGGTTGATTGTTTTTCAGAGGGATCAAATGCTGTTTTGAAACGTTTCGGTGGGGTATTGGCCGAAAAACGAACACTTAGGACACCCCCTTAGTCACAAACCTCTGTTGATAGCGCATCGAGACCTTGATGTGTGCTGACCGAACTCCTATCCACCTAGACGAAAATAATTTGACGTCATACAAGTTGGACCTGGAACCAGTTTATAGGAATTATCAGAAAGCCATCCTTCTGAACCTGTCTCGGCTGAGCTGCTTGTCTCCAACAGGTCCCTTCGGGTCTAGTGAAAGGGGTATCATCCAGTGTCGGTTCTTTCGAGTCGGACATCACCACCACTCTTAAAACAATGGAGAACCCTGTGGAAACAGTGTGAGGTGCCGTCATTACGTTTCACCTTAGCTTTTTTAATGAATGCTTATGAGTACATTTTCAGGAACGATCTGAGCCCACCTTTGAGCCCGCGCGAGGATACCAGACTCTCTGTTGAAGATGTGGACCCGTCTGTGCCAACTCCTGGTCATGCGAAGCCTCCAAAGTTTTCCAACCGAATATCAGAACGGCAGGTTTTTATGACAGTTTGTACTGTGCTATCAGTCATAACAGCAATATCAGCTGTTGCCTGTGCCGTGGTCAATGGCATTTCGACGGTCGTCAGCGCAATTCCTCCTGGAGTGAATGTACGTGTCCACAGTACCTTCGGATTTCATGAACACCAGCAAGCTGCTTCATTTTACTGCGCCAACTTCAGGTTTTCCTTGTTCTTTTGCAAGCATATGGGATTGTGTTGTCAGTGGTCTCTGCGTTGTTGGAAGCGGAACTGGACGTAATCACTAAGTCCATGGAGGTAAGCAAGGCAGAAGAGGGCCCCTTCAAAGCTACTGCAACGAACAAAAACTCAACGCCTATCTTTTCAGATCCTGAAGTTCTGGCCATCAAGGGGAATGCTGCAAGCATTGTAAGTCTTCGTTAAACCGAACGTACTGACTCAACTATTCGTGCCAACCTGAACGCCACTGCGATTGGCAGTGTGGCAATTCTGACGAAGGCCGTAACAAGGACCTGCAGCAAGTCAATCTTTGAAAAGATCTTTGACAATGGAGCAATATGGGTCCTCCTTGTTTGTGGAATGATCCATTTCTGCGGGGTACGTGAAGTTCCTCACCAAGCATCCGCCAATGGCTCATTTACAGATTCATTCTCATGCTCCAATGGCAGGGGATAGTGTGTGTTGGGCAACTGAAGAAGGACATCCAGAAACAGAATGAGAAAAAGGAAGAGGCAAAGAAGGAAATAGAGGTACGTGCGAATGATCCAGACCCGCATATCCCATCATTCAGCCTTTTGCTTACGCTTATCACCCGCAGGACCTGGAATCAAGGAGGAGAAAGCTCGAGCATGATCTTGCATGCTATGATTGAGGGCTGATGGGATGGGGGAGGTGATGACCCAAGTTCAAGAGATTGATTACCGGTAATGGTTGGGTAAGGCAAGATGTGGAATAATAATGTATCGAAGCATGCCAAATGGTCACTGATTGTTAAATTATAGTATATAATTGTAGGCTTGGTATGCTTACTGAACTTTACTGTAGAGGGTACAACTGTCAAACATGTGTATTTGTCATGTTTGTATAGACTGTATAGAGTCACCTCTTAGAGGATACAAAACTTAGATATATTTGTGTGTACTCTCACTTTACCATTATTCAATTATTCTGATATGGTATCACGCGTAGGTAGGATCCCCCTGTTCAAATTATATAAGTTATAATTTAATATAGGCTTGGTAGGTTGTTACTGAACCTTTCTGTAGGGGGTACAAACCCCTCCTTGTACTCCCCTCTCTTCTAATCCAACCCTCTTTTCTCTCCTCAACTTTCCTAGCACCTAAAACCTCTCGCCATTCTCATGGCTCCTCCTAGCTCCTAGCTAAACCTTGTGCCATTCTATGGCTTCCTAGCTAAGCTAGTCTTTTAACATGGTATCAGAGCAGTTCGTTCCGTGTGGGCCTGCTCCTCGCGTTTCCGCTGCGTGCTCGTTTCTCTCTCTATCTCGCGCTGCCATGGCGGCCGCGTCAAGCTGCTGTGGCCGCGTCGTCGTGCCGCGGCGCCGCCGTCGACGTCCATGGCGCCCGCGTCCAGCTGCTGTGGCCGCGCCGTCGTGCCGCAGCTCCGCCGTCGCGTCAAGATGCTGTCGCGACGTGACGGCGCCGTCACGCTGCCGCGGCGTCTACGCGACAGCGCGCGGTCGGCGTAACGGCGACGTCGTGCTGCCGTCGCAACGTCGACGCCCCGCTGCGGCATCGACGCCGCTCCATGACGGCGTCGTCGGGCTGCAGCCGGCCGCGTGACGCTTGTGGCGCCGCTAGACCGGCCGCCCGCATGTCAGCCTGTGGCGCCCCCCCCCCCCCCACCCCCCTCCTTCCCCTGTGCCCTCTTCCATTCCGCAGACGACGGCTGACTCCCGCCGGCCGTCCCACCGTCGCGGGGCCTGGCCACGTCACCGAGAGGTGCGGGTGCCGCCGCCGCTGCCGCTATTGTCGAAGCCGCCGCCGCCGCCGCTGTCGCCGCTTGCGTCGGGGCCACGCAGCCGCACGCCGCCGCCGCCGCCGCTGTCGACACTGCCGCCGCTGCTGCCGTCGCCGCCGCCGCCCCTGCGGTCGACGTCGCCGCCTCGCGCACCGTGGGTCGACCGACCTAGAGTCGCTGTCACTGTGGCTGGAATGGGGGTGCTAGGTTAGGGGGTGTGGGTGTGTGTGGGCATGTGACTACCAAGCCTAGGGGGTGTGTTCAAATTATATAAGTTATAATTTAATATAGGCTTGGTAGGTTGTTACTGAACCTTTCTGTAGGGGGTACAAACCCCTCCTTGTACTCCCCTCTCTTCTAATCCAACCCTCTTTTCTCTCCTCAACTTTCCTAGCACCTAAAACCTCTCGCCATTCTCATGGCTCCTCCTAGCTCCTAGCTAAACCTTGTGCCATTCTATGGCTTCGTAGCTAAGCTAGTCTTTTAACACCCCCCCCCCCACCTACCGCTTCCGCTCATGCCCCCTAGCGCCCCTCCTGGGCCCCGTCGCACTCCTCCCAGGCCCCGTCGCGCTCCTCCCAGGCCCCCTAGCGCCCCTCCTGGGCCCCATCGCGCTCCTCCCAGTCCCTCTAGCGCCCCTCCTGGGCCCCGTCGCGCTCCTCCCAGGCCCCGTAGCGCCCCGTCGCGCCCCTCCTGGGCCCCGTCGCGCCCCTCCTGGGCCTCGTCGCGCCCCTCCTGGGCTTCGTAGCGCCCCTCCTGGGCCCTGTAACGCCCTCCCAGGCCCCGTCGCGCCCCTCCCAGGCCCCGTCGCGCTCCTCCCAGGCCCCCTAGCGCCCCTCCTGGGCCCCGTCGCGCTCCTCCCAGGCCTCGTAGCGCCCCTCCTGGGCTCTTTCGCGCCCCTCCTGGGCTCCGTAGCGCCCCTCCTGGGCCCCGTCGCGCCCCTCCTGGGCCCCGTAGCGCCCCTCCTGAGCCCCGTCGCGCCCTCCTTGGGCCCTGTAGCGCCCGTCCTGGGCCCCGTCGCGCCACTCCCAGGCCCCGTCGCGCCCCTCCCAGGCCCCGTAGCGCCCCTCCTGGGCCTCGTCGCGCCCCTCTTGGGCTTCGTAGCGCCTCTCCTGGGCCCCCCGTCGTGCCCCTCCTGGGCCCCGTAGCGCCCCTCCTCGGCCGCGTCGTACCCGTCGCCGCCGCCCGGCCCCGTCGTGCCCGCCCGGCGCCGTCGCGCCCGCCCGACCCCGTCGCCGCCGCCCGGCCCCGTCGCGCCCGCCCGGCGCCGTCGCCGCCGCCCGGCCCCGTCGCGCCCGCCCGGCGCCGTCGCACCCTGCCCGGCCCGTCGCGCTCGCCCGGCCCCGTCGCAGCCGCCCGGCCCCGTCGCACCCGCCCGGCCCCGTCGCACCCTGCCCGGCCCCGTCACAGCCGCCCGGCCCCGTCGCACCAGCCCGGCCGCCGTCCCGCTCGCCCGGCCCCGTCGCACCGGCCCGGCCCTGCCGCACTCGCCCGGCCCCGTTGCGCCCGCTCGGCCCCGTCGCCCCGTCCCGGCCCTGTCGCATCAGCCCGGCCTCGTCGCGCCCGCCCGGCCCCGTCGGGCCAGCCCCGGCCCCGTCCTCCTCACTGGTACGGTTCCCCCCCCCCCCCCCCCCCCCCCCCCCCCCCCCCCCCCTACCCCGCCCTGCTCCGTGCCGCCCTGCACCGCACTGCACTGCACCGCACTGCACCGCACTGCACCGCACTGCACCGCACTGTACCGCACAGTACCGCACTGCACCGCACTGCACCGCACTGCACCGCACTGCACCGCACCCCACCTAGCTGCACCGCCCTGCACAGCACTGGACTGTTCCTGATGGCGGCGGAGCTTCGCTTCGACGCTGAAGGTCAGCCCCTAGAGTTCGAGGCGTGGCTTGCCGACCTCCGCCGCCAACTCACTGGCCAGCGGCAGGATGGTGAACCGCTTTCCGCACACCTTGACGGTACGCTCCCCTGCCCAGACCCTCCTGCTATTCTGCCCGCTGACCCCACACCCACTGAGCGTGAGTCTACTGCTGCCACTGCCCGTGCGCGCTCTGTCTGGCTTTCTCGCGATGCTGTCGCCCAGCTTGCCATTAGCAACGCCCTCCCCCCGTCCGAGCGTCCTCGCTTTAGGTCCCTCACTAGTGCTCAGGCATACTTAGATGCTGTCATCAAGCGCTATTCCACCCCTCCGGCTGCCTCGGTGGGTCGCCTGATCCTCCCGCTGCTCTTTCCTGACCTTGCTTCGTTCCCCACTGTCTCTGACCTCGCTGCCCACCTGCGCTCGATAGAGGAGACCTGGCGCGCCGCATGCACTGACGCACAGCTTAGAGCCCACCAGCCGCCCATTACCTCTACCCTCTACCTGCTTGCCACCCGCCTCCCTGACCGCCTTGCTGTCTCCCGCGACCGCTTCCTTAGTGTTCACCCCGCAGACCTCACCCTCACTGACTTTGTCGACACCCTGACTATGATAGAGACCCGTCACCGCTCCATCGCTCAGGCGAGCGGTGTCGTGCCGGTCCCTATCTTTCAGGGTTGTGCCCCCGCTCAGTGTGTCAACTTATACATATTATCTATGTAGAAGTTATAGGCTAGACTGAGGTATGCTTCTAGTGAGTACAACCAACTAGTATTTGTTCTAGGTTTCCACCTCTAGTAATCATTCGTTTCTACGTTAACATGGTATCACGCTTAGGTTAGGATCCCCCCGCCTACCGCTTCCGCCCGTCGCGCCTCCTAGGCCCCGTCGCGCCCCCTAGGCCCCGTCGCGCCCCCCCTGGGCCCCGTCGCGCTCGTTAGGCCCCGTCGCGCCCCCCCTGGGCCCCGTCGTGCCCGCTGGACCCCGTCGCGCCTCCTAGGCCCCGTCGCGCTCCCCCTGGGCCCCGTCGCGCCCGCTGGGCCCCGTCGCGACCCCTAGGCCCTAACGCGCCCCCGCTGGGCCCCGTTGCGCCTCCTAGGCCCCGTCGCGCCCCCCATGGGCCCCGTCGAGCCCGCTGAGCCCCGTCGTGCCTCCTAGGCATCGTCGCGCCTCCTAAGCCCCGTCGCGTCCCCCCCTCTCTGGGCCCCGTCGCGCCCGTTCGGCCCCGTCGCGCCCCTCCTAGGCCCCGTCGCGCCCGCTGGGCCCCTTCGCGCTTCCTAGGCCCCGTCGCGCCTGCTAGGCCCCGTCGCGCCCCCCCTGGGCCCCGTCGCGCCCGTTAGGCCCTGTCGCGGCCCCCCTGGGCCCCGTCGTGCCCGCTGGTCCCCGTCGCGCCTCCTCGGCCCCGTCGCGCCCCCCCTGGGCCCCGTCGTGCCCGCCGGGCCCCGTCGCGCCCCTTAGGCCCCGTCGCGCCCGCTGGCCCCTGTCGCGCCTGCTGTTAGCGCTCGCCCGCCTGGCCTCCTCCTAGTGCCGCTCGGCCTCCTCCTAGTGCCGCCCGGCCTCCTCCTAGTGCCGCCCGGCCCCTTCCTAGCGCCGCCCGGCCTCTCCTCAGCGCTGCCCGGCCCCTCCTCGTGCCCGACCGGCCCCAGCAGCACCAGCCTGGCCCCTCCCAGCACCAGCCCGGCCCCAGAGCACCTGCCCGCCTCCCCTGCTCGGCCTGCCGTGTCCTCTCGGGCCCTGTGTCTTCTGCTCGCCTGCGCTGGGACGCCTAGCTACTGCCCTACTGGAGAGTGCTGCCGCCGTGTCCCCGCGCCGCTGTGCTCCTGTGCCGCTGAGGAGCTGTGCTGCTGTGCCGCTGTGTCGCTGAGGAGCTGTGCCGCTGACCCTGCACGATGGCTGACTTTGTGCTCCGCCTGGACGCTGAGGGCCACGCGGTTGACTTCGCCGCCTGGCTCTCCGATCTCCGCCGCCAGCTTACAGGTCAGCGCCAGGATGGCCACTCTCTGGTTGTCCATGCTGATGGCTTGCTCCCCCGTCCCCCTGCACCTACTCCCCTCCCTGCTGACCCCTCCTCTGATGACCGTGAGGCTTTCTCTACTGCTGCGCTGGCCTGTGCGGTCTGGGACTCACGCGATGCAGTAGCTCAGGTTGCTATTAGTCACGCCCTCCCTGTGTCTGAGCGCTCGCGTTTTGCTACTGT